CCAATAACCTATGCAATGTATATACGTACAACCAATGAGAAAGTAATTTCATAAATGTAAATAATCTTGTAAGAAGCTACTTGTAGAAGGATTTGAACAGTATCTTTCAAGAATGTAATTTTCATTAGGTTTATGATTACTATACTTAGAGGTGTAGGTTATTGGAATTTGATAGTCATTAGGATCAGTAGTTGACTAGATTCAACTAACCAGTTGAGACATGGATAGTTGGAATAGTTATGATTGGAAACTACTTGTGATTAGTTGTTTATTTTTCTGTTGTGATACTAATTAAGCTGAACAACCTTGAATTAGTTAAAAATAAAAGGTTATAATCACAATATTTCAGTTACTTGAATAGTTGGAAACATTTTCAATTGATTGATTATTTTACATGACATTAATGTTATTGATGCTTGTATATAATCAATTCTATTGCACTAATTGTCTAGTTCTAAACAGTGTAATGCCCAAAATTAAATATATTAAATAAATACTTTTGTCAGTCTGCATATACTGTCTAAAACAGAGTATAGTGTTGGTTACAGCTTACCAATAAGGCACTGATGAAAAGTATTAAATAGTAGAAACTATGGCAAATTTTAGCACAGATTTCATTTCCAAATGAACTGAGAGCCCGAAAATCGTGATGCACAAGCTGTTATTTGCTGTGGAATATTGTGATTTTTTTCTGGTCTAATTTATATATTTTATGTAGAATAAAATAGTTTACCATTATAAATATTCTGTTATTAATATTAGAGTAGTATATCTAGAGCAGGGATTCTCAACTTTTCCTCCATCATTAACCCCCTCGGCTTGATGTATTTCTCTGTTTACCCCCTCACTTCCATACCAGAAATTCATAGCCATCATAAAGGGACAGAAGAACAAGGTCAGAAAAAAAAATTATTCAGGTTTTGCACAAAAATAGCACACACACACACATTCTATCTCTCTCTGTCTCTCTCTCTCTCACACACACATGCACACACACATTTTACACATTTAGAATATGACATATTTCCATGCATATAAATACAATGTCCTAAAACATAGTTTTTGGCTTTTTAACTGAAATAGAAGTGGCTTAAAATGATTTCTATACCTGGTCAACATTTTCAAATTTGCTTAAACCAAGGCTTTTAGACCAAATAGATGTCAGTTAAGTAAAATCTTTGTTTTATGTTTGTTACAAATAATGCAGTAGCAAATGTCAAAATATTTGATATTTTTTCTGAAAGCAGGATGCTCTGAGGGAGATGTGACATGTGGCCTTTACTTTATTGCTTGTATTTCCATAAAGAAAATATCTTTGCTGCTATGAATTGATAGTTTAGCTCAAAGATATGTTTAGTATAAGTGACAAACTCCACAGGAAATTAAGACCAAATAGGGGTAGTAGAAAGTGTAGAATTTGGGGAACTGAAGAACTGTTATGTGATACTTTAATTTATTTATATACATTTTTTAAAAATTAAAACATATATTAAAATTTGAACTATAAACTGTTTTATCCCAATCTTAATAATAAAGTAGTTTAATTAAATTTTGAATATAACTTTGTAAAAGGTTGTGACATGTACACTTTGACTGAACCATAGCAATAGGGTTAAAAAATGCTGTGATAAAGACATTCCTTGAAACAACATCCATGCATTTACTACAGAAGAGAGACCAAATAACTTAATATTTTACTCTGGCTCCAATAATTGGCATGAACAGGGATTGGGGAGTTAGATATTAGTCCTGTTTGACGTGGTATGGTTGATAGCATTAGTGGTTAATTATTAACATGTTTTGTTTTTTAATTTGAATGATCTATCACTAAATAGTTTTTGTAATGCTCATTTACAAATATTTTATGATGATATATTTACTAGATATTATTTGTTAGAATAAAATTTCATTAAACTTAATTTGTTTTTGATTTCATTACTCGGATTGTTTCAACACTCAAGTTTTTTTTTAATATTTTGCTGCATTTATTGAATTAGTGTAAATAATAATTATCATTTTGGCATATATTTCATAATATACACCATAAATGCATTGTAATGTTTGACTAAACTTGTATAATGTAATTTTATAACTTTTGTTGTTCGTTAAAATAATAATTAAATAACATAATGTTTAAATATGCACAATTAAAAACAGTTTTAATACAGGCCAATTTATGGCGTCTAAAACGTTGACTTTACATGTTTCGAAGTTTTCTACTCCTAATGACGTAGAAAACGTCATGAAACATAGTCAACGTTTTAGAGGTCGTATATTGGCCTGAATTAAAAACGTCTAATTATGTATCTATTTGAATGTTGCTAATAATTTATTTAGTTTAACATTGTTCAAAAGTGTCAAAAAGACTTTGTTCCTTATTTGTTACTAATATGTATAGGATAACTCTGGAACTTGAAACATGGTATAGATCAATTCATTTTGCTTTCCATATTTGAAAAGAAGAGTTATTATGGTTGAATATTTCATATTGTCTATAAATATTTGTTGTGCTAATTTTATAGCATTACTTACAAAGTTTAGATAAACAATTGGGATGTTTGTCAGAGCACTAGAAACTGTTTTACTTGTAGACAAACAAAGATAACGATCCATCATTGCATTCAAGTATTTTACTAATCACTAACTGTTTTATATATCTCCGAATATTTGACAGGTCGTGGCAACACACCATATTCAGAAGATGGTTGGAATACAGTTTCAAACAAGCACAGGATTCAGATTGATCCTAATAAGATAAAACAATTAGCTAAGGTGAGTCACCCTAATGAGTTCAAACAATTAGCACTAAAGTGAGTCATCCTAATGGGGTAAAACAATTGGCTGAAGTGTGGCAGAGACTTCATGACAACACCTATACTGTGATATAGTCATCTCATTCACACTAGTGATTGAAAGTTATTTTTCTTGTAGATCATCAGAGCTATTATTATTTGAGATAGAAGGGTATGTTTCAAAAGTAAAAGGTCTGGGGTCTTCCCTAAGTAGGAGTTCAGGGGCAAAGCCTTCTAATAAAAACTGAATCTTATAAGCATTTTCAGGACAGCTAATACTTGACTTTGGGGGAACATTGAAGTTAAAAGTTTTGTTTCAGAATGAATTCAAATGGTTCCTTGCCATATTTCCCATACACTTGATACAAGAAATCAGAACAGAAGTATGACTACGAACTGTTTTGGTAGGATTGTATTTAAATGCAAGTTAATGATGAAGTTAAATGAACAAGTTTAGCATCTAATTTGCAAAAATTAGCCAGACCCAGATGCATCTTTTACTGTGGAAAATCCCCAGTCCACGGGGCATTTTGACAGCACTGGATCGTGAGAGAAGGTTATCTTAGTAATCCCTCTGAACATGGTAGAACGGGTGTCCGTAAGAGAAAAACTGTAACTTGTATTAACTTCTGATCAAAGCAAGCTATCTATATAGATCCCAATTGAAAATAGACTAAGTAAAGCATAGCTAAGTAAATATACTGTTCAAACAACACTTTACTTAAAATGATTAGAATGCACTATTTCATCTGTTGGATAGGTACCCTTGCTGTTAACAATATTTTCTTCTATTAATCCAATAATATCTCTTGAATAAATAATTGTTTAAACATTTGTTTAACAACAAGTAAAAGCTGGGAATGGTCTATTCTTTCATTGGGGTCTGTGTCAATTGTGTACAAGCTGCCCAGTGTGTCAGCTAACAATACGAAGAGTTAAATTGTGGCAGAATGCTAAAAGTTCTTCAGTTACCTATAGAATGATAGGTTTCTTTTTTGTGAGTGTAAAACAATTAAATACACCTGTTCAATAATATCTCTGTTTGGCAAGGCCAGGGGACTAAAGTTAATCATAAAAACATAAACTAAGCTAACAAAATAAACTATTGTAATAAAAGAACAAAAATGAAGTTAAAAATTACAATTAATTAGTAGATATATATTAAATATTCTAGCTAACACTGTGTGTCCATGTTAGAACTACAACTCGATGGTAAAATTCATGATTGGCTTGGCCAGCGTAGTAAATTTAGGTTAGTTCCTAAATGCATAAACTTAGCTAACAGTATGAAAAATCTTTGTAATAGAATATACAAAGAAACATAATAACCAATTCTGTTAAAGTAACCTTAAAGAAAGAATGTAAGTAACAATAGTTATTGGAAAATAAAATTACCGAAATGTCTGTGTAATCTTTCAAGATAGAGATAGCCATCCAATATCTATAAAAAAGACATTGTAAGTCTTAAGTATTCACATTTAGTGTTAAGTAAGACTGTAATACCTGATGATTCAGTATTAGCTGAAAAATAAAGTGCTTTTACAATATTTTCATGTTATTACCTTTCGGTTTGTTTAGATAGTTTAAAGAATAAAAAATGGTTAAAAACTGCCACAAGTCCTCACGATATGACCAGATGTATTGGCATATGCCTTTATCATTGAAAAGTAGTGGTATAACATGAGTTGTGTGGTATTTGTTCAAGTGAAAAGTCATTGGTATTTTATCCTTTAATTATTTTAAAAAACTGTTGTTAAATTTGTGATTTTTATATTCTAACTGATTTTTATGAACTCGTTTTATGATATTTATTGCAACTGCCTTTGATGAACTGAAACACACCATACTATGATGATGAAAACAGTGGAATTCCTCGTTACTGAGGCAGTTGTTTTTCTAATAAGTTTATTTTTAAACATAGGAAATGACTATTTAACGATAAAACTGCATTATTTATTTTTATTATAATTTACAGAATCAGCAGAACACCGAAAACATCCAGTTAGGCCCAGGGGGTAGGTCCTTCACCAGCTGGGGTCGAGGTAGTAGTGGTGGTACTAAACAAACATCTAAAGATAATGAGCCAAAAGTCCCTGTACCGTCTAATAGGTAAATTTGTGTTTGAGATTTGAATTGAGGTTAAAATTTTTCTGGAATATTAAAATTTTTATTAACTAAAGAAAACAAATTTTTTTTTTTTAAATAATAATAATGAAGAAAATGCATTTTCAGTCCTGAAATAGTAATAGTGTAATTGAAAATGAGGATATTGTGCTGTTACTGTAACTTGGCACTTTATATCCCATAATACTGGGAATTTTGTCATGTCTAATTTTACTGACCTAATACAGTATTAAACAAAATAATATAATAGCATTTCAGTTATATTTGTTGTATAATGTTGTAGTAAGACACATTTTCTGAGTTACAGCATAGAAAAAAATGTTAAATGAAACATTGTATCAACTATTTTAAGTCGCTTGTTATTGGCTTTACCGTTTCCGTTTGGGCTCGGTCATTTTGACTGACCTTGTGACCACCAGGTGCCTATTAAAGTATTTTTACTATAACTTTTAATATAATATGTATATCTTCACAATATTTGGTAAGCTTTTAGTAAACATTACAAGTACTTTGTACACAAATAATCAGGTTTTTCAATTTCATATTTTTACTAAAGATTTGCCCATGAACATGAGAAGTTAGGGTGTATTCTCTAATCTAAGTGGAAGGTGATTATCACATTAAGATTAGAAATGATGCTTTTATTCATCTTTAATCTATTCTTTAATCTAAATGGAAGGTGATTATCACATTAAGATTAGAAATGATGCTTTTATTCATCTTTAATCTATTCTTTAATCTAAGTGGAAGGTGATTATCACACTAAAAGATGAATAAAAGCATCATTTCTAATCGCAGTTTTAAATATTTTTATACAATCGCTAAAACCTTCTGAATTAATATCAAACGTTTCTTGTTTTTTCAGTAAAATCACCACAAAAATGTCATGCTAATATCTTGGCTGTTTCGGAACCAATTGACATACAACTTGCACAAAATGACTTACACTTGATGCTGTGACAAGCAAGTTTGTCATTTTTAAAATTCCTCAAGGCATACATGAATGCACACACACATAAAATGGATGATGTGCTACTTTAGGCACATAATTATATTTAAGGGCAAGGTGGTAGAGATGACGATGAGTAATAAAACCTAATCAGGTATATGTGTGCACCCCACACTTGGTATTGGTGGTGCACAAAAATCATAATTTTCAGAAGAAAAATTAATCATAATTTCCCCCGATATGATGGCCGTTCAGCTTGTACAAAATAATTATAGATAACCCTCTTTATCTTTCTAAAAAGAGTACAGATTGTAACAGAAAACTACAATTGTTTATTATAAATACCTTAAGGCTCGTTACATCTGTTTTTATTTAATTTTGCTTTATTGCTGTAAGGACCAATTCTGCAATACAAGCTGTAAATCATTGTGGGAATGCATAGCTTAAGTTCATGTTGAAAGACATAATGCAGAGTTCACTTGCAAGCATACCTCACACTAAAATTTTATTATTCATTATATTACCTTATCTAAACAATAAAGTTGCTCAATTTTACATTTTAGTTACTTTTATAACAATATACACAGCGTGGTCACAAGTAAATAGACACCACCTTTTCAGAAAAAATGAAATTTTTCAGTCATATTCACATGAATTGATATATTTATAATTTAATTAATATCTAGTAGATCTTCCTTTCGCTTCGTGGAGTTTGTTGATCCCTTGGGGCATTGTGAGAATCATCAAGTCAATTTTAGATTGTGGGATTTTCACCCACTCTTGCTTCAAAACTTGGAGTAGATTGCTCTTTGAAGTTGGTTTTTTTGGTTGTTTCTTGACTTGCGCCCACTCTTACTTCAAATCTTGGAGTAGATCGCTCTTCGAAGTTGTTGTTTTTACTATTTTTGACTTGCTGGTCGAGTATGGCCCAGAGGTTTTCGATTGGGGTTCATGTCAGGAGATTGGCTCGGCCAGGGCAACTTCTGGATACCATTTTCTTCCTGCCACTTTCGGGTGTTTCTAGCAGTGTGCCCGGTGCTCCATCTTCCTGGGACAACGTTGTGTTCTTGTCCACGAAACCCGAGGAATAAAGTGGCAAAAGTCCTTCCTCTAATATTTCGACGTATTTCGCAAAATATATGTTGCCAACGCACTCCACTAAGTTCGATCTCCCACCAACCCAAACAGCTCCCCAAACCATCACACTGAAACCATGCTTCACAGTTGGCTGCAATCTGTTGAGCCAAAACTCTTGGTGAGGCATTCTCCAGACCCATATTCTTCCACTGTCATCCGAAAATTGAGCGAATCTTGATTCGTCTGAGAACAATACGGTCTTCCAAAAGTCCAGAGGCTTGGTCATCATATCACTTGCCCACTTCTTTCGTCTGACTATGTTGGCAGGTCTTAAGAAGGGCTTCCATCTAGTTGCTCTGCAATGATAACCCAATCTGTTGAGAATCCGTTGAACAGATTTCGGGCTCATCCCACCAACTTTGGCCACTTCTGCAGTCGTTAATCTGGGATCCATTTCGATGCTCCTCTTGACA